CTCCTCTCTCCCTATAGATGTGTCTTGTTCCTCCTCTCTCCCTGTAGGTGTTTCTTGTTCCTCCTCTCTCCCTGTAGATGTGTCTTGTTCCTCCTCTCTCCCTGTAGGTGTTTCTTGTTCCTCCTCTCTCCCTGTAGATGTGTCTTGCTCTCTCACCTCCCCTCCCTTTCTTCCACCGTCACTGTAGTTGTCTCCCCTGGATGTAGCAGAGCAGGTTGTTTACGACATGATTGCCAGGCACTCTTGCCTGCCCTCGCCTACACCATCTCACAACCCCTCTCCTTGCTTTCCCATGGATTTTGAAGATGCCAGCATTCATAAAGTGGGGAGCAGATTCCTCACATATCAGCATGCTTTGGCTCGTCTGTTTGACCAGTATGCGCCAGCCCTCATTTTGGTCATGTGTGCTTTTGCTCACTGCCTCAGAAATGCTCCCATCATTGGACCCTCTCACCTTTGACCTCTGCCATGCACACCTCCCTAGATGACGGCGAGGCCGTCAGCAGCTCCTATGAGTCGTATGATGAGGATGAGGCGGCCAAGGGCCGGTCAGCTGCTCAGCACCAGTGGCCGTCCACTGAGGCGTCCATCGAGTTGATGAAGGACGCTCGCATCTGCGCCTTCCTCTGGAGGAAGAAATGGCTTGGCCAGTGGGCCAAGCAGCTGTGTGTCATCAAAGAGCAGCGCCTCCTGGTGGGTACTGATGGTGGTGCACTACATCCGTCTTGCACAAAGGACAGACTGTTAAGGACTTTCCGGAGTTCCACCCCCGCCTTGATCTCCACAGTGTTACAAGACTTCCAAGGACCAGAACCCCCAGCTGGAGGTCAGCCTGCTGGGCTGCACCGTGGTCTACAAGGAGAAACAGGTGAAGAAGAAAGAGCACAAGCTGAAGGTGGTCCCCGTGGGTGGAGAGGCCATTGTGCTGGGTCTGCAGAGCAAGGAGCAGGGCGAGCAGTGGTACAAGGTGAGAGGAGAGAGGCTCAATGTCAGTGTTAAGTATTAAGGGTGGAGAGAAGCTCAATGATGTCAAGTGTTAGCGTTAAGGAAGGAGAGACTCATTGTAGGCATTAAGTGTTAGTGTTAAGGTGGACAGAGGCTCAGCATAAGTGTTAAGTGTTAGTGTTACGGGCAGAGAGAAGTTCAATGTCAGTGTTAAGTGTTAGTGTTAAGGTCAGAGAGAGACTCAACGTCAGTGTTGAGAGAGAGAGAGAGAGAGAGAGCGGGTGCAGGGTAGGTATGTGTGAGATGTGTGAGAGGACTTGATATGCTGGGGGGTCGTGCTGCCTTCCGGTCTTGGTGCTCCAGCACCTGGAGCTAATGCAGAGTGTAGCTATGTGTAAATCACTGTCTGTCACCAGGTCATCCAGGAAATCAGCGGGAAACCTTTGGAAAGTCCCGAAGTGGCCCAGCACCTGTCCGATTCCCCGCGACACATCTGCGCCAAGGTAGGAGCCCAGCCCTGCTGTGAGGGCAAGGTACAGCCCTGTGCTGCTGATAAGGCTTAATGATGTAATGAAGTTCAGTGGTGCTGACTTAGGCCTCTGTGCTGATGTGGCTCCTCTGTCTTAGGGTGAGCTCAGCGAGAGACACTCTGCAGCCTCAGAAAGCGGCAGCAGCACTGACAGCCATGCGGAAGCCACAGACGCCAAAGATGGTGACTGTGAGTTCGCCCCCGGCCTTCGTCCTCATGACCGAGATCGCAGGTTTTACTACCATTGTTTTCATCTGTGCTGCCCCCTGCAGGGAAGAAGCGATACGGCGCAGCTCTGAAGCTGAGCAACCTGATGAACATCGGTAAGAAGAAGCCCTCCGCCTTGGAGAGTCCGGAGAAGACCATGGAGACGTCAGGTAGGCGGACCGCCGTAGGCCCCTGTCACTCACGGTACATTTACTTATTTACTAGTCCCTTTTCTTGAAATGCGGTTGAGGAAGCAGTGTCACAGTCCCTGGAGCAACTGGAGGGTAAAGGCCTTGCTCAGGGGGCCAATGCTGACATCACTCTGCCAACTCTAGGATTCAAACCAACCTTCCGATCACAGGCACAGTGTCTTAACCCTCTGAGCCACACAGCTCCCCCACATGGCATCCCTGTGACCCCTGACCCCTGTATTTCCCCCATTCAGGGTACCTTAACGTCCTGGCAAACAGCCAGTGGCGAACACGCTGGTGTACCATTAAGGACGGACAGCTGTGGTTCTACCAGGACAAGGGGAAGACCAAAGTGGCCCAGCAGCCCTTGGGCCTGGAGGGCTGCATGGTTGTTCCAGACCCCAGCCCAGAACACCTCTACTCCTTCACCATCCAGCAGGACGGGGAGCAGCTGGCCACGTTGGAGGTGGGGGGGGGGGTGCTTTGGACGGCCCTGTGTGTGGGCGGGCATTACAGAGGAATGGCCTAACAGAGAGGGGAGTGCCATAGTGGGGGGGGGGGGGGGTGCTTTGGACGGCCCTGTGTGTGGGCGGGCATTACAGAGGAATGGCCTAACAGAGAGGGGAGTGCCATAGTGAGAATGGGGGGG